TCGGGGAAAAATGAAACGAGAAGGAACAAAAAAAGCACGAAAGGAGGAAACTATAAAAAGAGACCGAGCGGTTCTCACGCTTTTGAGGACTCCCGGAGAATTATGCAACGCGTGCTCCTCCGCCTCCGACCTTGTTAACTGCGCTCTGAATTTCAACGAGAACACCCGTTCCATGAGCAAAAACACAACAACGGATTCGTCGCTTCTAATTACCGTCTCCACAATGGCCGTGTGTAACTTAATTAATTTCATTCATCGAGACTTTGCATTTTAATATCTTAATCCGCGACGCCGGCACGGCCGTGACCGGTTACGGTGGTTACGTGCGATCGCGAGCGGTTTCGCCGCGCGGAACGATTGAATGACGCGGGGACGTCGACAAGAACAGCTACCTTCGATCTTGTTCGATGTTACAATTTACATTGCCATCGAGTCCGTTCGTTCAATGATTTCTGCGAGTGTCCAGTGGTACTTTATTGAGTACCGAAATGGAAATGTGTATATGTTTCTTACTGTTGATACTTTCCTCGTAGGCAACGTGCCTTGAACGTAACTTATCATTATGATCAAGCTCGCGATGTATATTTCAAAGTTAATTTAGCAACATGCGACAAATGTAATATTTCTTTCCATTTCTGACAATCAGTAACGCTGAAATACTGAACTCTTCTATATAATTTTCAGAAAAATAGTAAAGCCGTAGACTAGTCTTTCCACTGAAACGTTATAACGATCGATATCTGATCAATTGAAAAAGGTTAGTAAAACGTATCAGTACACACCGTACGCGTTATCAAATGCCAAATATCTCGAATAAAGGAAACCCAGAAGCAGCAACGATAATTTAAGACGCGAACAGTTTGAAGCCGAGAATCAACAGGATTATCCAGATCGCTATCGACACACTGTGCCCAGCACAATCGTAGGAACGCCCACGTGAACCCGCGGCGATCGATCTCCCGATCAGTCCTCCCTCCTTCAGCGGAACAGTGTTCGGGGGCAGGACGAAAAACGAAGTGTCATCCGGTGGCGTATTACTGGAAATCGTGACCGCGTCTTTTTATCGCGGCGAGTATATCACCGGCCGTGGAATTTCAGGTCCCCGGGTTAGGCTACCTAGGTTCCACGGGTTACCGGTGGCCATTAGTAGACATTTTGTGTGGTCCGGGCGAAGTTTTGAGCAGGGCGGACGCTCCTATGCAAATTCGCGGATACCCCAATAAATACTGAAACGGGAAGCCGTATGGCGGAGGCCCGGTGGAACCGTGGAACGGCGGATCTTGCATTAATTCCGCTCGTCATTCCGGTAATTCGACGTATAATGGCGCGGTGAGCGATCAGGCTCGCTTTGTTTCGCGCGTGGACGCCGAGGGAGACACAGAGACAACGAAGAAATCCTGGGAAACGGAGAAAAAGCTCTCCGTTTGTATCTCATTTTAGTGCTCGAAGCGTATTATTCGGGATTGAAAGAAGTTTAAATTCAGAAAAATAACCGGGGGTGGGTCGAACGGGGAAGGGCGGCCCGAGCCGAATGGCATCGTTGGAAATTACCAAGGGGTTTATTAAAACTTTGGAAGACTCATCTTTGTAAAGAATATAAAAGATTCATAAGGAATGTTTTAAGTCTTTGATCCGTAATGTGGACGCATGGATCCCTTTGTGAGGATCGAAACGGCTGCTTATAAGGAAATCGCTTGAGTTATCGGGCTGTCTTTTTTCTTATTGAATCATTTCACGGTAACTCTCGCGAGGTAAAGGAGATTTATTTTTTCTATATAATTCTAAGCAAGCTATTCACTTATTAAAAACTTGTTACTCATTCTCTCAAATTTCTTTTCTCCTAGAAATTACACAATTATTTCGATTGTCAATTATCTGGCAACTAATTTCCATAGCAGTAATCATTATCAAATATCCACTAAGCTCGCCGAATTTTACCGTATCGACTCATTTCAAACTGACACGGCGTCAAGATCGAATGCCGAATGTTCCGGTGTAATGAAAAAGAATGAAGATCGGAATAGTCGGCTAATAGTTACACGGAGTCCGCGATCATTGCTGCAGGGTCTGATATTCCCTGTGATTCCTGGACGCTCCTCAGATTTCGTGGCAGTTAGGGGACACCCTTCAGTCAACCCTAGGCAACGCTCGCTTAATCCTCTTACGACTACTCGGTACTAACCTATAATAATCCTCTTTGCAGTAGATGTTGCCGTCCCTGGCGAAGCACGTCAACTCGGCGGCCAAGGGGACCCGGCAATGGCAGCAGCGCAGACAGCCGCAATGCCATGCACGATCCGCAGCCCTTAGGTACCATCGCTCGGCTATCTCCCTGCCGCAACCCCCGCAACCAAGATTGGCGTCCGTGTTGTTGTTCTCGCCGGTGGTGACCTGGCGATTGCTGATCGCACCATCCCCTGGCGGGGGTGTGCTGCTACCGCAACCGACTTCCTTCAGCATCTCGAGAATAATGGCCCTTGCCTCCAAGCCATTCTGCGGGGAAAGAATTTGGTGATATTTGAGAAGCATTATTTCATCTTCAAACGTGACGTTCATGTTTAGTTTGTACTTCGTCTTTTATTTTATAGGATATTTTTGTTACTAGATATAGTACTGCAACGGAAGTAATTTGTAGACACATTTCTATTCGAAAGTAAAGTATTCTCGTGAATTGAATACATCCACGTTTAGGTTAAAAGATGTATATTTAGATAGTCTCATTTGTTCGGGGGTCTTTATTGTGTTAATCGTGAGGTGGAAAGTTTAATGTGTTTTAGTTACAACGCACGACACCTACGATCAAAGTATCAATCTGAATATATACGATGATCTTTTTAAAAAGCATTGGGAATAGAGATTTTGAAAGGAGTTTCGAGAAACGTGTTTACTATGATTATTTTGTAGGCTCCTTGAAACCGTGTAGAAAGAAAAAATAATATTTTGTTGAAGCAATAATAGTGCAGCCTCTCGCGTGCGCTATAACGAAATGTAAAAGTCACATTATTCTGTTATACGTATGTATTTTATCTTTACTGTTTACACAAATTTCAAAGGAGCAATAAAATAGATATTTTTATTGTGGATTAAAAGAACTCAGTTTCGTTCAGCATCGTAACTCCCGCGGTTTAAGTGTGCTACTGTTTCCACCGCCTACTGGTTTTACGACGCCACTATATTTCTTACACCGAGTATGCAGCTTAAATCGTAGTAGTCCTTAAAACTGTAGTATACTTTCAACGTATACATATTTTCCTTCCTGTATACATCATAATTAATTGCTTTATCAACTTCTTTACCCTTTCATGAATCTTCTTAACTGTCTCCATAAATTTTTATATGATTCTTTAAATAACATCCCCTCACGCTACGCGTAAATACGCCGCGCCTGCAAAACGAACACGAAACGAACTGAACATCAGGGATAGTGTTTTTTCAACAATTAAATTCCACTTTTCTACGTACCACCATCGAATTTACAATCTATCCCTAACATCTTCATCTCTAACTCTTCCCTACAACTGCACGTTAACCGTCGTTTCCATTGAACAAATCGAATTACCCTGTTGCACGATCAAAGAGTATACAACTGTTGTCAAAATCCTTTCTCGATTCAATCTCAACCCTCCTCACACGAATTAATCAAACGCAGCAAAATTATATCATTAGATATTCAATATCAAACATTATACAACGCACGAACAAATGTAACGTCAGACAAGTCGACTTCCCTTTACGTTAACTTTAAGAAACATCACCGACACCTATAAAACGACGCATACACAACATTTCTCAAATACATAAGCAACCACCCCCCTCAACGTCGCCTAAAGCACAATTAACCAAACATTCTACTAACAACGAAATACCCACGCGACTCTCCCATCATCGCAATTCCAATGACAGACAGGTTTCCCATGAACGTCTTGCGTCACGAAAAAAAATCGTCTTTTTCAGGGACACCGCGTATTTAGCGGGACACTCGAGCCCGCGACCACTCGTCCACCCCTCGGCCTGCTCGGTTTCACGGTGAAAATCCGCCCCCACCCGGCAGGCGGCGGCCGAGGAGAAACTTTTTCTCGTCGTCATCGCGATGACGAGTTCCGTTGGAGGCTTGAAGGACTCCCGGCTCCTACAGGAGTGGCGGCGTCGCCGAGCCGGCCGGCATTCATTCAGGACACTTCTCTCTCCGGCAGCGGCGCACGCAAGAACCGATGAATGAAAACAATTCGTGACTGCTGTCCCGTTAATGAATGACTCCCGGGGTAGTGGGCTCTCTCGGTTTCGAATCGGCCGCGAGCTAATTAGTAGAACCTTGCGGATCGCCACAATAACTCAACGTCCTTTACGAGCTCTCTCACTCTTTCTCCCTCTATCTATCTCTCTTTCTCTCTCTCTCTCTCTCTCTTTCTCTCTCTCACACACTCTCTCTCTTTATCTCTCTCTCTCTCACACACACACACACTCTCTCTCTCACTCTCTCTGTTTCTCTCTCACCGGGCCGCACGTGATTTCTGTAAGTTAAATGGAAGGTGACGTTCGCCTGGAATCACCGTACACCTCGTTTTACCAAGGTGACGCCGTTTTGCTGCCGCCTGTCAACGACGTATTAGGCCGAACGTGTGCCCACTGATTTACAAGTATCCCCACCACGCCCTCGCCCCTCCTTCTCGCTCTATCCTCCTCGATCGTCCTTTATCTTCTTCCTCGTTTTTCACCGCTAATTCGACCAGCGATTTCGTTTCATTATTTCGAATTGCCGCGCGCGAACACGCGGCTTTACGGTGTCGCGGGTTCGTTCGAATGCTGTTCGTTGCCCGTTACCGAGTGCCGATTCGTTTTATCGGGATCTGCGATTGTTCGAGGGTCGCTTATGCTTCGACGATGATCCTTTTTTCAGTTTTAACGTGGCTGTTGGCGTGTGACAGTGGTTTCACGTGGTCCGGAGTTTTGTTGATGTTGGGCTGATCGGAATGCATGTTGAATTGTATTGTTGTAGAGTACTTCTCTTGGTACGGCTGTCTTAATTCTGTATGCGACGTTCGTGTCTGTACAGGAAGCAGAGGTAGATGCTTGCGATAATAACTCCGTGAAATTTTCCTTTTATTTTAGGTAACAGTGTTTCGGTGTTTTATGGGAGAGTGTATTAAATCTACTGTTAGCATTAGATATCTACTTCGAGCGTTAGACCGCGTTCGTAACTCCCGACGCTCTGGAAAAATGTACACTGCGCAGAAGTGAATAAAGATTAATTTAAGAAAATAATTCGATCGCATTTCGTTCACGACGACGTTTCAAATGAAACAGTATCGAGTACCTTCAAGCGATAAAGACTTCCAAAACACTACATCCTCGCATACCAGTAAACCTAATGCACAAAAAGACAAACGATCTCCAAACAGAAGAAACCCAGAAGTCAACTATTAAACCCACGGAAAGCCTGTCTCAACCCCTATCCCTCATCGATAGCCCATCAGAAGCCATCGCTCACTGTCCAACATCTCCAAAGTGGCGTCAAGCCAATGGTCCATTTCAGCACAAATTAAACAATTTGCCTCGTGGGCCCCGAAGGAAGGCGTGTCAGGTAGTCTCCGAGTGGACGCTAAAAAACACCGAAAATCCTCGACGGACCCGTCCCGGCTCGTCCGTCACGGTGATTTCCATCGTCGCCACCGAACATCAGAATCCTGGCCCCCGCAAAATTTTAACGATCCCCCGATCTCGCCACCGTTCCGTACCTACCTGGAAGTGTGCGGTTAACCAGCTGGAAACGCGGCGTCGGGTGCCGACGCCGTCGACGTCTCTTCCGCTGCTCCCAGCCTCGGCCGTCGCTCGCCTATTCCCGTCACCGCGAACGATCCCGCGTCACCAATTTACGCCCCGGACCCGGCTATTTCCATCCGAGTCCCTCCGGTGACCTTGAACCAGCGACAACAATCTTTTTCCAACCTTCACGCCCAGAACAACCGACGGAACCGAGCGCCGCAGTCCGTCGGAAGCATTCGGAGCCGGGAAATCGGGAGTGAAGCCAAGGGAACTGGAATATCGATTCAGGATTCGGCAGACAGTCTTCCTTCCGGATGTCCTGATGGTCCTTCGGTCTTCACGTTCACAAATCTCTACTTAAATAAGACGATCCTGCCACTTTCTCTTCGAGACGAACGTTTCATAGAGTCCGAGGAAGATTAATCAAAGGGAAACCCAGCGAACTCAAGTATCTTTCAGGACAATCCCCTAAATTCGTTCACCGAACATCCACGTTCTCCAGCGAGAAACATCAAAGGCCCCTCGTAGGTTCGACCAAGACACGTCCTCCTCGATCAGCCAATTTCCCGTCTCCGATCCGTCGATCCTCTACCTGCCTGTCCTCTCGCTCGAAGACACCCCTGTGTCCAGCGGCGATCACCTGGCCCGTATCATCTCCGTCGCCGGGACCACGTTTCCTCGCGTAGCCGCGCGCCGGCGGGCAGCGTCGGCACACCGGTGACCGTCGCCGGTTCCCGTTCACTCGCGTCGACCTGACCACCGCGACGACGCCCGGAAGACGCCACTTTCCCGTGTCGCGTAGCGCGAGAAGAAACGAGCGGCAGCTCCGGCGGCCGGCGTTTTTTGTTTTCCTCGGCCCTGGCGAGGGAGAAATCGGTGCGCGCTGCGCGGGCCACGGGGCGAACAAGCGAGCGGATAATGTCGGCCGCGCGGCGGACAAGTTGCCCGCGAGGGAAGCTGTTCCCCGTCGGCGTAATAGTACGATCCTGGGCTGGCCGGAGCCAGGGCCAGGGGCGGACGTCGCCACGCCGGGATAGAGGGGTTGGCCCCCGCGTGCACCGACGCCGCACGGGGTGGGGTCTCGGCCGTCGAACGGAACGGGGGGTAGAGGCGTCGGGACGCCCGGCGTTTGCGCGATGACGACCCATCGCCGCGTCCTCGTCCAACCGACGGGCGTCGCGCGCCGGCGTCGGCGCGCCGCTTCTGCGACGACGCCTGGGCTCCTAGCCGGCTTTACGCGACGCGGAGACGTCGGACCGATACGAACCGTCCTGAGGGGTGAGTTTCGCGGGGCTC